CAATACTAGATGAATTATATTCAATTGGGGTCAGTCGATGAGAATAAAATTGCCATAAACCAGTTATCGATAATAATAATAGCAATAAATAATAATAATAATGAAATAGAAATAAAATAATAATTTTAAAAATTACAATAATAATAGCTTATTTTTTTCATCTTCTTCAAAACGTCGTAGTAATGTTTGGATTTCAAATGTTGACTAAAATAAAAGCAGTATATGCTTTTTCCAATAGTACTGCTAAATATTACTTAAAAATCATTACTTATTTCTAACAAATGTAATTCTATTAATTGTTTGAAACTCTCAGTTATATTTCGAAGTGAAAAAATAAAAGACAGCGATTGCAGTTCAAAGGTTATTTACTTTAAATTAAAACTTCATCCAAACAATCAATTTAGCAGAGAAAGCTTCACTATATAATCATGCAGTAAACAGCTAATTCATAGCAACAAAATTATTAATTTTGTTAGATGCACAAAGCCAAAGGCATTAATAATTTTGCAATTAAGCATAGAACAATAATAAATTTGCACAACAACAGCAAATATATTCTTAGAAGAGCAAACCACAACAAAAAATTAATAATTAGAATACGAATAGTCAGTATGTTCTAAAATAGAAGAACTTTATTCCTTATTAATACTAATCACAAGATAAAATGCTTTACGAGCCTTTAAGTATACAGTCAAAGTTTAATGAGCTTAACTGGACAATGCTTTAGCAAGCAAAGACTAGTAGTAGTTTAGACAAACATTAAGAGGGTAAAGATGTTAAAGCTCATCAATGAATTCACTGAAGAATACATTAAAGCAAATTTAGACAAGACAACATCCGCTTAGCTAATTCAAATTACTTGAATAATTCGGAAAATGAGCAATAATATTGATATTGCTATCACTGCATTGAGTGCAGTGAATCCAGAATTCAGAATCTGATTACATTTTCTTTTTTTTGCGCGCGCGTTTTTGATTATGACATAATTGTTTGCTTTCTTTTAGCAAAGAATTTAGACAAGAGCGGAAGAAATTGTACAGCATATAAAATGGAAACAGAAAAATAATAGTTTAACTTTGAATTACGCTTTTTTGTCGAATTATTTTCTTCTCACACATAAAAAATACGCAATCACATAACAGTAAATAGTGCTAATCTCAAAAGCAATTTAAGCAATTATAAGCTGAACTTGAATACTGAAATGGTTTACTGATCAAATTCAGTCCACTGAAGTAAAAAATTAATCGATTTCTTGAAGTTTCGTGTAGAAATAAAAATAATAGAAGTAACAAACTTTATATGTGCGAACAACTAACACTCGTATTTGCGATTTCGCTTGCGATGAAAAAAATGTGCAATCAATATGCTTCAGTCTTGCTAATTCCCTTCTAAAGATTGTTCTTTCAAGCTAAAAGCAAATTTTTATTAGCTCTTATCAAGAAGAAATTCGATAAGAATTTCTGATTAGATAGAAGAGAGACATTGCCACAGTTCAAGAAGAAAGAACTTGAAGTAATTCAAAACTGTATTCAAGTAACGTATGTTCATGGCTGTTATTTCATTTGCCATGAAAATTGATTCAGAATTTATAAAAATATTTCTGAAACTTTGAAGTTATGAACGCAATTTTCTTTCTTAAAGTACCACAGTAGTATTTTCATAAAATTAGTGAAGCACAGAGAATATATGATTTCTTAACAAGAAATCACTTCTGAAATAATAAGTTGAATATTTACAAGTAATGAAGAAAGATTAATTTTCATTCTATTTGTTCTGTAGCCTTTTTCTTTCTACTCATTCAGGTGTAAACGTGAAAATATGAAACACCAGGCAGGAATCTTGTGTGTGACGTGGTTAACAACTTTGTTTAGAACAATTTTCAATAGAAAACACTTTCCATAGGAAATCTTATCAGGTAGCGGACGTAAAGTTTATTAATTTGTTTGAAAGAGAGCTGAACGTGACCTTTCCAGTATAACTCGGAAAACCTTACGCACTTTTATCAAAGAAGAAAGAACAGATTGAGAAGCATGTTACACATATGCAAGAATCTAATATAAAGAAGAACAAAACTTTTTAAAATAGGCAGAAAACAAGACTGAAAATATATATAATTGCAAGATCAGTAGCGATTCCTCGAGCTAAGCTACATCCCGTAGTTTGCTAACTTCTGATAACTGATCTTACAAGTGATTCTTTAAATAACTATTCCTTGAAACTTCTAATTCAAAAGAGTTATGACACAAATTTGTCATGAGAACAAATAATGCCATTTATGCCATTTTGCAAATGTCTTGCATATGAGTTTAGCAATACGCCTTCACTTTTGCAGCAATCTCGAGGAATTGCTCCCTTCCATACCTTTTTCATTCATTGAGAATCAAAGTCAAAGTTCACTTTGAACTAAGCAATCTATCAGTATTGATGCAGTCAGCAGTGATGTCACGCAATCAGGTAATTTTACTCGCCATCCTGTGCCTAGTACTCACCAAATTTTGAATACAAAATTTGACTCTACACTGAAGCTCAGGCATCATGAACCTTACTAGTTAAGATTCTTCTTTTTGAATTAGTGCTTCTTAGAAAGCCATCAATCGTTTTTACATACATTTGGACTAGGTGTATGAAGGACTAGGAATTCCGAGAGCAGTGAAGAGGATTCCTAACAACTTTTGAGCAGTACTTCACCAAAGTAAATAAGTCAATGTTAAGAAATGAAAGTATCTTAGAAACGGGAAAATATTGCCTAAATTTTTATATGTCTTCGTCAGCCACATTATTAGGCTTTCCAACTATGTCCAACCCATTAAGACCTAATTTATATCATTAAGTCAAATCAGTGGGAAAAGGACAAAGAATTAGATAGAAGCGTATTTAGACAATTGCTTGGAGCTTCTAAATATTGCAAAAGATTATCAAATAATTTAGGAATCTTAAATTGACACGGTGAATAAAAAGCGCATAACAAAGGCTATCTATCCGTGCAAAATTGTGCGCATTTAATGCAAATGCATGAGATGAGGTATGGGGCTGACATAGATGTGTACCACTCAAAATTTGCATTTTAAGTCAGTATATAAACCCATATGTAGTAATTCAGATACTAAAGAATTAATAGGCTTAATCTTGAGCGTAAATTACTAGAATTATGTGTTTTTTAGCCTTCATATGCATGAATCATTTCTTCAATCATAAAATGAAATATACAGTAACTAGATGCAAGTGCCATCTATCACAAATGTCACTTGCATGCTGAAGACAAATTTTTTAACTCTATGAATAAGCTTGAAGTATTAAGCAGTTCTAAGGACTCTCAGAATTTTACTTCAAGCATTCTTTGATATTAATATGCTTTGCCTGCTGGAAATGGTGTAATCTCCAATAGCAACAAATTACATCAGTTTCGCTGAAGGAATGGAATAAATTTGCTTGAATTGATGGATGTATCGATAGATGGATGAGTCATTGTGGTGCAAAGAATAAAACTGAATTCAAAATAACTGCTTGCTGATAAATGAATGCCTGCATTTACTCTGTACCACAATTATTAACTGAGAAAATAAAACGTTTAATATTGACTAGACTTAATCGGAAACAATTCGACAAGACTTAGTTTCATCTCTAGACAGGCCTATCAACATGAAAAATAAGATCAAGTTTGTTATGATAAAAACAAACTGTATGATGTATTCATGTGCATTAAGAATTGAAGGCTATTTTCAAAAAACGATCTAAATCTGTGGTTTTTTGAAAATGATCTGTTCTTCAGAAATATAAATACATTTTCATATGCTTTCAAATACAGTACTTGTTTAATTTAGACAGGTCCTCGTTCATCATGAAACACACCAAGTTGTGATCATTTTCAAGAGAATGGATCTACCGATGCAAATCTCCCACGTGATTCTTGCATTTAAAGTACTTACTGACACTATTATTACTGATATTGTTATTACTATCAATAGTCCCTTAGCCATCTATTTTTCGCTTGCTACTCTGTTTATCATACTATTATCTCCTACGTAAACCTACCAACAAGCAAGAATTTTTCTAGAACTGAACAAAAGCAATCTTAAAAAGTGGTAGTTCGTCAAAATAAAAACTACCTTCCCCCGCTGACTTTTCTACTGTAAATTAGTGTTAGAAGTAAATACCACTTCATCCTTTCAATCTTCGGTACCAAGCAATTTCCTTGTAATTTCATCAAGATAAGGTTTCCTAGAGAGACATAACTTCATGCATTGCAGAAAAAATACTAAATTTTGGTTGTTCTTTCCATTCGATCTCTACGTTTAAATATTTCCATCCGACAAGTTTTATCGCAGATTACACAAAACATTTTCATTCACAACAATATTAAGCATAATCACATTTTACTTTCCCATATTTACTCACACACAGTGAGCCATCCTACCCTACGGCCACAGAATTCGTTTGAACGTAACACACTCAATATCAAGTTATATTTGCTTGTATTCGTGTTTATATATCTCATGGTAGTTCACACCTTTAATAGTAAAATCTTGAAAACACAACCGTCAACAACAACCAAAGTGCTAGCCAGTACCAGATAGCAGTTCAAATTCTGAGTTCAAATTACGCTATCCCTACACAGGAAAAAATTGCCAATGCTACGAACTACATTACGATAACTTCAAAATTATATTTGCCTATTCATTTCAGTAACTCATATTTATATGCGAAGTTCTGAAAATTGTGTTGAAATACTCAGTAAACATTTTTCGACATTAAATGCTTTATGTATATATTTATAATGAACTCTGACAATGAAAATGCCTGAATATTTGAAACTTGTAGAATAATTATTTGTTTAAATTTCACGCGAAAAAATCAAAAGCACTTTCAATATAACAATTCAGAGACCGACATTGAAGTATTCTCATTTCTTTGGTTTCATTTGAGATAATATTCTTGACCAAATGCAGTTTTTTGTAAAAATGCATTACGCGTACTGTTTTCACAACTCCTTTTGTATAACGTTATTCTCTTTCACGATGGTTAAACTGATATCGCTTTCTTGGCCACCATCGCAAAAGACTGGCATCAAGGAGTAACTTTGGTGGACGCCCCATATTAATCGACTTGCAGTGTTCAACTAATCGCCTCGTCATTCGTACCACGTGATCACCCTTCCAGTACTTTATTAACTGCATTGTTTGTAAAGTCGATATTATATCATCTTCAGCTATACCAGAAGCTGCACTCAAATCTGAAACCTAAAAATCGAAACACGTATTTGCCATAACAACCTACTGCTGAAACCAGCGCCATTACATACAAATATAGCACTGTTGATCTCATTTGTTCCAGAAGATTTAATTCCTCTATTAAATACAATTTTTTCTTTTCTATAAAATAATCAACAAGCCTATCAAAAAGCAGATTTACACTACATAAAAAATTACAAACTTTAAAAAGAAAATTACCGTTACATCATCGATATTTAACTTATCAAGCGCTTCTAACAATACCCACCACCAATAGCTGCGATAACTAACTTTTCCTAAATCTGATAACGGTTTTTCAGGTGTTCCAATCATCCCTTCACGACTAGATAACTCGTAACCTATAACTACATGTAATAAAAATCCACAAAGTATGAAGTAAAACCAAAACAAGGAAACAAACTAACTAAGTTGTATAAGCAATTTGCCGTAGCCTTTACGCTGAAACGGAGGCAAAACCATTATGCACGCTAAATTATTAGCAGAGAGACGCTCTTTAGAAAAATGCCCAACAACATGAGCCCCTATCTGATCTACCTAAACAGTAAGAAAACTATATGCATAATTTCTACGCCAATTATCACAAGTGCTGTTTTTTATAGAATTTATGGGTTTTTTTACAATTTATAAATTCACTTGAAGCCTTCGAATCATATGTTACAGAAAAAAACCCTATCACACATGATATATTTTACTTTACTCAGCAATGAACAAATTTGAAACTTAAAAAGTTATATTCACAAAATAAAAAGGAAGAGTTTTTTGTATGCTGCCAAAGCAAATAGTTACTACGTTCTACTTTGTGAATACATACAAAAAATAATTTTTCTTTTCTGTAACAGCAAGAAAAACTCACTTCACACAAAACATAAAAAAGGAAAGTTTCGACATCAAAAAACAACGTTTTGTGATCCAGAAATAACTTCGACAGCAAGCATAAACACTGGCAATAAGTCTAAATAAGTAAAACTTACATTAACTTTTTGAGAGCAGTTTAAAATCAGATGATGGATGGTGCTCACGAAAGAAAAAAATTTAGTCTTGGTAAAAAATTACCTTATTTACTTTGCCATCTACTTCATAAATGGACAAATTTTTATCCCTATAAATTTCGTCTCCAGGAGGCTGTCGTCGATCGCAATAATGAAGCTGTAATTTAGTATTTGAAGGAAAAAATACCCTTCAACACAATATAAAAAGATATCCAGAAGATGAGATATGAAACAATGTTCTTATAGGAGATACTTCGTAATAAAAAACAAAATGTAGACAAGCACTTAGCAACTGATAAATTAAGCCGTTTAGAAACTGATACTTGTTCTAAATTTTGATTTTATAAATACGCAACAACAAAAATAATAAGGAATGTGTTATACATGACCCACTTTTCAAATTAAAATGCATCATATTCGAAAATACTGAGATAAGATTTAAATACGGAAAATTTCCTCACCACATGACAACAATATTCTGTTTCGGTTAGCATATAAGCTAGACAATATTCACATATATAAAGTATTGGCGCTTTGCTATATTCATCTGGATATGGTGAAACATACCATGTATCAATCTCATAATCACCATAACGTATTTTATCGATGTTTTTCACTTTTGTCATCTAAATGAAATCATAGAGCAAAGATATTCTGATTGAGTAGACAGATGATATGTAAAACTCTTCAAATATCCTTGAAATAACTTTTCATAAAGAAAAAGGTCCCCTCTCCTCACATGATTGGACCTGGTGTCGAATGCATACATAAAGTTTGAAAATGAAAGGCAGGCAGGAGCAGTTGGTAAAAACAACTAAGAGAAGTAAAACTGAGAGCACAACAAGCCAGATGATTTAAGTAAACAATAAAAACAAATTCAGCTGTGCATGTGATCAATGATGCCACATTACATTGTTCAACTTCACTGTTCAATTCTCGTATAGTACAAAAAGAGTGAAGATAAAAATGTACATATGAAGACTGACGAGTTATTCATTCAAAAATTTCAAGCAGTACATTTGAGTAACAAAACTTGTGAAAAGCAAAAAACAAGTAGCTTTGAAACTGACATATGTCAGTTGATTTAAATGTTTGTTACCATAAAATATAGAATAAGAGGACAGCTTTTCTTAAAATATTTTTCATCTTCAGTGATTCATTTCCTAGAGCAGGAAAAAATAGCACAAAATTATTTACCTCAGCATGCTCTTTTTCAAGTTTCGCTGTTGTCGCATCCATATCTTCATAACTTTTTTGCACATGGTTGAATTCTTCGTGTATACGCCGCTGACTTCGAGTCAAAGTTCCGCTTTCTAATGTGCCTGCCAGAGAAGCAGGTACAGACTGCAGAATTAAAAAATAAAATACAAGATGAAATACATTAGAAAAAGAAAACGATTTTTTCAAAAGGATGCTTAAATTGTAAATTTTAACATAATATGAACTACCGAACAACTATTTTTCTCTCGACCTATCAAAAAAAATTTTAATTTCAAATCTTCGGAGTAATTTTTAAAAATATAGCAAGGAAATTTACTATTGTACCAAAACAGATGTGCAGGCATTTGCATTTGCCCGTTTTATAATTCGACTCCTTTCAACCCACTCATCCAGTCTTCTATCCATACCATCGTAGTGAACATAATACATTTTACACTGTTCTTTCCTGAATCATTACAGTATGGATATGAAAAAAGTAGCATAAAAAGTATTTTATTTCGATGCTTCTGAAAACGTAACAAGGAAAAAGATCTTTCAAATTTTGCTCAAAATATTAGATCCTGCGCTTTTGTTATTCTTACTTCAATATTCATGCAACCACTGCCTTTTAATTTTCAAACAAGAATGCTATTTCATGATTGTTCATACTAATAATAATCCTCATAAAAAATGACCTCGTAGCAATATCCACCTCTACTGGAACTTTTTCTCCAGACACTTCGTTCAACAATTTTGTGCAAACACAACGAATATCCATTTCATGCTTGAAAGTAATCTTCTTAGTCTTTAAGCTTCATAATAACGAGGCAAAGAATATCGTAATAATCATCAGAGCTTAATTCATTCAATAACAAGCTAACCATTTTTTAAAGGATAATCAAATAGTAAAGAAAGAAAATTTTTCATGGTTTAAGTTTTTGTAACTAAAAGTTACTTTCATGATATAATGATATTTCTTTTGCTTCTTTTACTTTAGCAAACTGCTCCCTATGATTTTCTAGCAAAAGTTTCACAATTACATTTTTATGATGGAAAGTAAAATGCTACAACTTAATTTAATTTACCAATTTTCTTTCAGGTCAAATAATTAAATCTTTGTGAATTCTGATTCACTAACTAATCTCATTAAAAAAACAATCCAAAATAATAAAGAACTGGAATGAAACTAAGCGACATCACTACAGTTTCTCCGTATTAGATCAATGATGACTTTATAACACACAACAACTCTAAATCTCATGTTCTAAAAACATTTCTTACAGCTGATAAAGTTGAAGTAGAATTAGGCTTTGAATTCAAATGTTCCCCTTCACGTATTTCTACTATTGTTGCCAGACACTGTTCATCTTTAACGCCATCTCCGTTGGCTGCTCGTCTCAGTACAATAAATGCTTCCCCAATTTTTAATACGGTTGACGGCATTAATGGTTCAAGCGGTGGAGCTGCAGGTGGCAGCGAGCGATCTTTTTTCGATCGTTTACTCATCAATATTCTGAAATAATACAAGTTTATATAATCATATCAATAATTGTATGAACCCTCGAAAGAACTGGAAACCAAAAAAAAACAAGCAAATCTCCAAATATGTCTAACAATGTTTATCTCACTTCGAGTGTACGTAGCAAAAATATATGTTTCACAACACATTAAAACGAGAGCCAATTTGCGACAAGCCTCAACTATCTAGTCAATAAAAACTAACTTAGCATTTCGATCTCAAACCTATGAAAGGTGCTAATGAGATGTTTGGAGTGGATAACTTGCACGAGTCATTTTATATTATCAAACAATAAATTTGGAATTTGACTTATGTTTGAGAATGTATTGGAGGTAAATGAAGGCATTTGCGTAATATACTTGTTGTGACTTATTATTTGCTTGAGAAATCTCGTCTTTTTTCTCTTTTACAGATTGACGTTGAGCTGGACGTTTAAAGCATGGATGACATCGTAGACGGTATTAAGTCATCAGTTATTCGTTGGTGGGCCGCTGTCAGTTCTGATAAACGACCGAAACCGAACCCAGCAAGAATGGTTACTGTAGATGAGGTAAGTCAGCGGTTGTTGTATTAACACTGTCAAATGTCACTTCTCTCGCAATAATTGTTGTAGTTGATAGATATTTTGATGCAATTCTTGTAAAACGTGATTACTATGCAAAAAGCAAGGCATTAATTCACTTCTTGAGGACCTATTGATTGTTTCTGTCTAGCAGTTTGTCTTCTAGTAAGTAACTTTTTTCGAAGTTTTGAGAGATACTTCCAAGATTTTCTTTGTTTGAGATATTGCTTTTCTATTACTTATTGGTTCATATCAAAGCCTTGCAACTTTGATTTATGTCTTTTATAGCTGAAACTATGTTACATGTACAGTAATTAAGGGATTTCATATATCATTGTTTCATTATAGCTGCCAATGTACCCTGATGAAACTCATTATTACGAGGAAGTGCGCGAAACTTCCTTACCGATAGAGGAGGAAATATCATTATTAAGGCAAGCTGCAATGCATCGATTCGGAAATTGTGAAGTAAGTTTTAATATGTTGGTTGCCAAATCTCAAAATTTGCGATTTTTAAATATATGTAAAATTTAAAGATTAGTACACTTGCTTTGGAAGTAGGAATACTGCCGACCATGTAAAACAATCCTTACTACTTTCTTTTTATGATTACTATTTCCATTTTTATTTATTAGCTGTCACTTTTAATTTGCTGCTAGAGAACACCAGTTAGAACAGAAATAATTTATGTTTAATTATTTTTGATAGGTAGTTTCTAAGGGAAACTTGACAAAAATTTTGACAGGTTTTGGAGAAAAGGTCGAGAGAAGTTGTCACAGTAGCTCAAGGTTACCTTTTAATAGATTTATTTCTCACATTTTCTTTTTTTGATTTTCTCAGATATCTTAGTAATTAATCATAATATTAGAGCAATGCAGTTTAAAAAAAACTTGTCAGTAATACTGGATTTGCTTTCTCACGCATTGCACTTGTTAATGAAAAATACAATGATTCTACCTCTGTGCTTATAATTAAAATTCTAACTTTTTTGTGTCAGACTTAAGTCGACGTTTGCAAGAAGAGTATGGAATGTTACCAAAAGCTGCTGCTATCACTGTTGGTGGTCTTGCAGGTTTTCTCTTTGGCATGAAAAAGTTAGTACTTCATCTTGAGGTATGTTAGAAACAGTGCTTAAAAGGCAAAAGTATTTTCTAATTCTCGTCAATTATAATATAAATTTCAAAGCTAAATAATCACTTGAATGTGTTATTGACAAACAACATAAAAAGTGATGCGAAAGTTCAGGTCGGTGTTTCGTAGATTTTTGTATTCCGGTGTTGGTTTGTTAACAATGACTGCATTTTGTTATCCGTACGAAACGATCGCCATCACTCGCACCGCAGTGGAACATAGTAAGATGACTTGGGATAGTTTTGTTCGAAGTAAGTTTTTCTTAGTCTTTTTCGCAGTTAGCAATAGTAAATTGTAAGGAATAGTTTGGAATTCGCCAAGCTATTGACAAATTTCAACCGAACTTGCTCATTTACCACCAAATACTGCATGTTATTAAACTAATATTGATATTTTGTGACGGATTTATATTTATAATGATAGTGAATAATTTCAATCTTGCGGCAATATTGAGGTGAAGTCATTTAGTGAAATAGAAGAATGATTATCACCGCAATGAGTTCCATTTCATTATTTTGATAATAAGTAAACTCCCAGTGCTATTTCACAGATCTATATCTATTTCACTCTAGATTTGGTTTATTGACGGCAAATCTCGACTATGGTAAATAATGACTAATTATTATAATTACTTTTGGTAAGATTTCGGAACTTGTCATTATTGGTGATCTCAGTAAATTACGAATTTCAGCACCCGATCCTCCTGCACATTCAGCTGTTGAAGAGAAAAAAGTCTCAAATTAGAGTGATTAGTGCCATTAGTTAAAAGATATTAGGACTTGCTGGCAAAACTAAAATTGGACTAGGATTTGTAAACAAGGAGTGTTCCCGAACAGACTTTGCATAGTGGGCAGGCATCTTTTGTTATGATACCGGTGCAGAAATGATTTTGAAATCAGTTACTATCCGAATTGTGATGAAATTTTAACTCAACTATTTTTGTATTATTGTATTATCATAGATAAATATTTTTTGGGAGATGACTCACCGTAAAATTGTGTTTCCTTGTACTTTTCGCTGTCAAAAGCGTACTGTCTTAAAACAGTAGGCAGACATAAGTTAGCATCGACTGTTATGTGTTAGTTTACTTGCTGTTCTAAAGGCAAATGCATGGATTGGCCGACTGATAGGAAAAGAGCAGTAATATTTAACGACTCGAAAAACAATCGCTCCTAATAGTGAGCGTAAGAGAAACAAATATATTTTGCTAGAAAAATCCAGAAGAATATTTAATTGCTGTAAAACCATTGATTAATTGATAATTACTTATCACAATTTGTTAATTTGCAAAGACAATTACAGTAAATGCAAAAAAATAAATGAAAGAATAGAAATCTGAAGAATTCATTTCACTTATAATAAGGTCAACCAAATAAAGGTGACAAACACGGCTGTAGTTAGTAAGGAAATAGAACTAATTTTTTTTTAATTTTGGAAGTTTGACTAATGAAAAATGAAAGCGCAACATCCGTGAACGTAAACAGATCTACGGAGTTCATCTGTTTTGCAAGGATTGCAAGTACTGTGATTTGAGAAGAAATTTATATTTAAAAAACTAGTATATACAGAAAGAAAGTGAAAATTTTGGCAGATTTAAGATGAAATTATCAGTAATTTGCTAGAAATGAGGACTAACGCGATTTCCTCATCTACTTCAGTTAACATCGTAATATGTCTGTGTGACTTAGTGTAACTGACAAAGTATTAACTACTAATACAGTAGATTAGTAATTAAAAACTAGAAGACTGGATGAGTACTGAAATGATATCTTGGAGAACAACTGATACCGATGAATATAGAACATACTAAGATAGAAACACCTATACAAAGTAGAAAGTTTTCCGACATCATTTTCATATTATTATCAACAATCTTATTGCACTCACTATCATTTCAAATTTCATTCCTCATTCACGTAAAAGTAAGAAAAGGCAATTACACTAATCTCTTGTACTTTTTTTGTTTAAGATATATAATATATAACATCTACAGGTTTTCATCAAAATCTGCGAGGATACGGTACCAGAACTACCATATCAATCACTTCATAAGCATTCAAAATGAGGAATAAAATGTGTAGACATTAATCCATTATTTACAATCAATACCGCATAACACCTACAAATATCGTTATTCTAGAAGCAAGCACATAAAGTATAATTTATACATACATCAACAAAGTCAGATGACAAGTATGTAAGATACATATAAATGAAATTTACCACCTGAGTTTTATTCTTGTGTATAACGCACACATAGTTGATCCTCATAAAAGACATGAGACACGCATTATCACTACCGATAACATTGAATCCATCAAAACAGAAAATAAAGCACTTCAGTCTTTAAAAATAATGTTCTCACTACCTCACTACTCATTTAGTTCTTTTTAAATCACCACTAATCAGCAATGGACACCAGAAATGATGTCCATGAGCCATTCATCAAGTTACTAATTCTAATAAATTGTCGATTTTCCACATTCTCAACCAAAAAATAGCTATTAACGCGGTCGATCATAGACTAATTGTTCTCGTTCCGTCATCGTCGTGCCGCATGGAATCATAAATGCGTTATTATATGGTCGGATAACAGAATCTCGATAAAGAGCATTCAACGGCATACCACGTCCACTTTGATCTGCACAACGAATTTTTCGCAATGGATCTGTGAGAAAAATATCTGTATTTTATTGGATCAATTATTAGAAAATCTTTACGCCTAGTTATGAGTATTCCTCGCATGCAATAAGTAGAAATGCAACACAGTCAATGTCCAGAATAAAGATTTTTCTGTTTTCTTTTCTTTTCAATCTCTGACTAAAGCCAAGACGTGATCTAAAATCGAACTTACAAGAAGAGAGTTAAAAAATTTCGAGTGAGTTAATATTTACCTGTTTTATTATGTATCAACCATAGAGTGGCTACAAAAGCAACACCAAAACCAAATGATATGATAGCAATAATTATGACCACGTAAACAGGGATGCCATCGAAACGACATTCAACACTGTCTTTACGTAAAGCTTCTTCAACTGCTACAGCACATACCCGTGCACACTTCGAATCTAAAAAATAGGATGCCAAAAGTGCTAACACAAAGAAATTTAATCAGTAATCAAAGTAAATTGTTAAACAAAGTAAACAAACCATAAACTGCATTATAGGCGTCCTCATTTGTTTCAGTAACAATATCTTCTGGAAGTGATAACATATCATTGCTGTCTAGTGAAGGTTCACTAGCATTTGCCAGAAGAATACGAATCGGTGAAGGTAATGAGACCGTAACTGCCCGTTCAATGTAAGGCTCTATCCAGTATGGCAAATGTTGTTGTTCCTGAGATGATGGCGAACAGAATGACGCATGTGGACACTAAACTTATTCTTTCGTAAATTTCTAAAGATTTCATGCAATGGTCTTTCCCAATTACAACATACATTTTGAAAAATCTTTAGAGCGCAATAGAGAATGCACAATTTGAATTTGTTCAAATAAATAAGAAATTAACAAGTTGTTCTTGAATCTTTTTCACGTATGCGTAAATTGTCATCTTCTATTACACACAATATCGGCTGCCATAACACAATTTCCACCTCAAAGCTAGCAATTAAAAAGTTGAATTATGTTCAGTACATCTCTTATCAAAAATGTGTCTCCACTCAAATTAACAACTCATGTCTTATTTCTTGAAAATTGAAGTGTGCAAGTAAAAAATTTGTGAGAGTGTTATAAAAGCCAAAATTTTACATCTGTTTTTTAAGGGACAAATTTGATCAGTCAACAATCTGTCTGAAACCATACTACTGTTAGTGGTGTTTTTGTCTGAATTAAACTGACTTGTAAAAAAATCCATTTTTTAAGAAATCATATCACTGAAATCATACCATGGGAGTATTTTGAAAGCCTTTTAATTTTTGACCCGTACAAAAAACTATATCACAGTGAAGAGATATTCGCCCGTATTCAACAGATTCATCAACTGGTACTGACCTAAAAGTTTGATTCAAAACTTGAATACCTTAGTTAAAAACATAATGGCAATCCATATTCGATTAACGATTTTTCTTTTCCAAAAAATCAAAATGTCGGTCTGTCAGTAGATGATGAGAAAGTTCGACGAATTCTGTAGTCTAATGAATAATTTTTTTAAAACTAAAAAGCATGCTGCACAAAATATTGTTCACAAGAATTCAAAAAAAAACTGACCCATTCAATAAAGATGTAATCACTAAATTACGCGTAATAGGAATCGTCACTTTGGTCCATTCCGCAAAACGACCGATACCCGTCTTCTGAAGCAATTTAATAAAACACAATTACCTTCTACTCCATTGCAACACCATTTTATTCATGAATTTTATCGAAAGCAAATGAAAAAAAGAGATTAGTTATTCATTCTTCAATTCCCACTCTTCTAGAAACAATTAAATATATATAATTTTTTTCAAAGCAATATATTTGTCCTATAATAATGAATGACTCCTCATGAAATAACTGCAAGTTATTTCAGAGCAGCAAATTCTCCAACTACTTCCCATGTATAAAATTATTAACCGCAATAACCGTGAGATTCCTAAGTATTATCCACTTGCTCTTTCCTCTTTTTGCCACTGGAGGAAAAATACTACAACAACAACAAATCAGAGAAACTAACTTGCTCCAAAAATGCCAATAAAGAATTGTCATCGGTGGACGGACATCCATTTTTAATAAAATACCTGAAGCGAAATCAACTACATATTACTGCACTTCAATAAGTTGGCAAGTTTGCTGAATCGAAAATCAACCAAGTAGTCATGAGACCGCAGTATATTATTTACTTGCTGTTTTCTTCTAGCAGTCAGCATGCGTATTTTACTTATACAGTATTAATTAATACTGGTTGATTATACTTACTAGATACGCCACTTTTTGTAATAACTTTGTAATGACTTACCTACGTGCTACAACGATAGGAGTAACAGTAGACTCAACACTACTTGAAGCTACAGTAACCCAACAATTCAACGGATACGTGTGTAATCCTGGAACAGAGTGAAAAAATTTGACGGATATGTAAATGAAATGAACAGTGAAACAATCGAAAGTTCATCTGATCGTAATCTCATAATTAAAATTCCATGTTTTTGACACTATTCATTGACTGTCACTGTCATGGCTTTGATTTCTTAATTACAGAATTCAAAAAACCATTAATTTTCCAACTCTGCACTAAGAACAAGTTTTACATTTTGATTAATTTTCATACTTGATAAATTCATCCGTAATCTTTACAACTTATTTTTGCACTTTATGATTGAATACAATCTCAATACTTCAAATTGCATATTGTTCATTAATTAATTATTTAGTCCGACAGCAATTAAAAGAACAACATTATATCGCTACAAGAATATCCATTGTATGTATACTTGTTTCAATCAGTATCAATCCAATTAAAATTTAAAAAAACTCTCACTTTCCTGCATTTCTTTCAGAGTTGGTTCGATAGCAATATGCAAATTACTACCCAATCGTACAGAAACTGGTTTCACTTCCGTTACAGATGTACTGCTAGTAAAATCCACAGATGATATTCTTATCGGTCTACCAGATGCCACCATTCTTGCCTAAATGCATTGCAAACTTAAACTTTTGAAACAAAAAGACACAACAGAAAGATAATTATTTCAAAATTATATGGATAATTTCAACATTTACTTATACCCATGTAAAGTGGTTGATAAATTTTGAGTCTGATTTTTGAACTCAAATTAGATTCAGAATCCATGACACATGATCAAGAATACTATGATTAAAATTTCAACATCATATCGGATCATAACAATTGGACTAAAAAATGTATGACGAAAACGGGATAATAAAGTTAGAAAGACGCAGAACGGAGGAAAATCAAGCTAACAAGCAAGAATAAGGTGGGACATCAGCAGAGTATACTATACTATCAGTGTATTTCATTAATTAGTAAGGGAGTTAATCAGAAATCAGCTTCTCTCCATTTTTTTGTTGCTCATCTAATGCAAAACTGTTCAAAAAATTAAGGGCTGCGCTTGAAATCTTTCCAAAATTTGCACAAAATAAATGATGCAAGAAAATATTTGTATTTAAAAGTCGAAATGTGGTCAAGTTCAATAATAAGGTGATCATAATTTCGCTAAACTCAGACTCGATTTCTAATTTAAATGTCAGACAAATTGTAGAAACAACCTTGACATGTGATTCCACAAATGGTACAGCACACTGCACTTCAAACTGCTCTCTCAAACTGATGACACCCGAGAAATATACCTGCAGTTTAATTTGACTGTTTTGAAAAGCTGTAGTAAAAATTTAGCTTCTGTAGACTGAATAAAATTTAGTTCTTTAATTTATACATCAAAATTTGATCATACATACCTGAAACAAAGTGAAAAAAAAGAAAAAACAAATTTTAAACGTAGAGAGAACAACATGACTAGGTAACAGTAATTTTCCCGAGCAAACAGTTATTAAAATGAGCTAAAACAGTTATTTTCTCATACGCTAATATACAGATCTCCCATTAATTGACAATAAGTATAAAAAGCATAAAAACCTTGGCAATGAAGTTGAAACCACCAGTGAAGAATGTTTTTTCTATACCACATTTGCTGTAGCCCACTGATACAATGTGGTACTGAAATAAATTACTTACTGCCCCATACTGTAATATACTATAATAATTTTGCATGCTTTGATCCCATTATGATCCAAGATAGTTGTGTATTTTAGTACAATTTTATAAATTGTTTGTTTACTAATCATAATTATTAGCTTTGAAATTTAAAACCAAATATAGTCTTCCATCAATGTCTTCCAACAAAGCAGACAAAGTATCAACCACAAGTAGCACAGAATTTTCAAATAGCATAATAACTCACTTCCTGTATCATATTGAGCTGCGAACAACAAGCGCCTGACTTATCATCTCCAATGCAAATCCTGCCCCGCCAAATCATTTCACGTACAGACTTTGTCATTTCTGGATTCCTTTTTCGATTGAATGTCATCAGTACATTGATCCTACAATATAATAACTCAGTTTCATAACAGTTGATAAAGTTTGCAAATGGATTGTCTACTGTTTCCAGAAATAGGATTCAAAATAGGTTTGCCACCAAAATTTTCAAACTATGTATTCAATTTGGAACCAAAATAATGCTTACTCCTAGCACTTAATAGATTAGGTTGGTACGAAACGAAGTGCAAATATGGTTAAGAAAAACAAAGAATAGCGGAAAACATGCAATACTGACTAGCATCGAGCATATATATTATGTCAATAAGGTTATAATGCAGTAAATACAAAGAGATACAACTGAGGACAAGTAAGTAAACAAAATTTAAAAGTAATGAATAACTGAAAATATTACTTCTCTCGCTGACATGCTACTCTGAGATACTGCTCGAGTAATTCTCGTTCTGCAGCACTCAACGTACATGAAGCTGAAACAATTTGTAGAGTAAATACATTACTGCATTGAGAATATCAATCCAATTAATAATCAAAAATTACGCGCATTTCAGAATGATTTTTATTTAGTTCTTTTAAGAATATAACTACAAACTATTCAAATATGTTAACAAACTTTTAGTATTTAACTTAAAATATATTCAGTTTTCAGTTAAAATTGTTTGACAAAAGAAGTGGACATTTTGTAGTGTACAGAAATAAAGTAAAAAATTTAAAAAACATACAATTGAATACAAAAAAAAAAACAATTCTGTAACGAACCTAAGACAGTAAATACAACGGCAAAGAGTGCGATATAATACATATAATGCATTTTATATTTATCACACATTATAATGAGGAGGCTGATTGTTGTAGTGCGCACTTGCCTTCGAGACGTTCGATGCAATTTTTCAATAAAAATAGCTCGTTTTCTTATCGCTAAAGAAACGCCAAAAAAAATTCTTCCACAGCAACTACCCTTTACGATCGTTCTTACAAATTGCTTCTTTTTTCTTCCTGACCGAAATGAGAAATTCTAAACCGTACGTTATCAATCCGTAGTAGCAGTAGAAGTAGTGTACAGTACTTGACATAAATCAAATTACCACTTTTTGCTTTTAATAATTTTGATTAACTTCTCATTCTTTCCTATAAATTGTCCTCTTTCCATCATATCTGCATATTAATTTGCAGATAATACAGTTTTTTTTGTTTTTCAAGGCACAATTTATCTAATAAAGCAGGTGGATATATAGCAGATAATGTAATAGAATATAAATGGTATCAGAAGTATAAATCGAATACGAGCAACCAGAAATGATTGATATTTCTCTCTTCTTTGTTGAAAAAAGTTTTTTGTGCAATTTTTTTTTTAGTTTTTAGTTTTGCACCAAAAACAGGAAAAGTTTGAGACGAAAGACACAAATTAGTTATCAACTAGTGATTGATTTACACAACAAAGGCATCAACTCCTTTGTTAGTACCACAAAAAATATCTTTGTAGATTTGTGGTACCATTAAAAGATGGACCGAATGAGGCAAGAACCACAGTGGTTGGGAATATAAAGTTTTCTTTATTTATGAAGCGCTTGCTCTGGTAACCTAGTAAGATGTGAAGAATCGTTGATTTCTTGCGATAACAAATAATAATATTGACTTTAATGTATAATTTGCTGGATCACATTCGTAGAACCACTGTTTTTTGGGTATATAACATCAGTTGCAACCAGTCGTGAAGCCAACATGTAATGGGAGGAATAAAGATAATACTTCAAATGTTATCCTTCTAATTAAGGTCAACAGCGCTTTTGGTACGAAATCTTAGTTGAAAAATACTGTTCGCGATGATTTGAACACAATAAAAACAGGTGAATAATAATATTCCTTACTTGTGCCACTTCTGTTACTGTACTTTTATCGGACAGTACGACACCTTAACCGATTTAAATGTAGCAAATAAATTTATTTCTGGCGTGATGGAACCAAAAATTCCGCAAATTTTGAAACTGAAAACATAAATTTTTTCAAAATTTGCATTAATCGTGAAAAATGCGAGGTCAGGGACGTATCGCTGATACCAGCAAAATTATTTTGCTTTTCAGTGCTAATCCACTCTGCATTTTATTTCAAAAGCATAATTTAGTACACTATGCATTCAAATTCCAAATCAATGAATTTTGTGAAATGATAAAATGGAATTGAAAATAGAAGATGACATCTAATTATCAGTTCATTTACATAACTAACCACCTGTCAATGAATGCATTACCACCTTAATCACAAATTTTAGCATTACAAAAGAAAAAATGCAGATATTAAAACTAAGTAAATAAGGAAAGTAAAGGTGACAATGATCTAATCGAAACTGGGTTTAGATTGGATTGGGTATAGGTTGAATTGGGTTTTAGTAGAATGAATTAATGAAAGAATTGGCAAAAAGTAAAAATGATGCAGAAAGTAAAATGGAACGGGACGGAAGCAAACTTGTTGGGTATATCATATTTGGCTGCATTTAATTCTGTTGATTATTTATTATTTGCATAGCCGTTGTGCAAGTCATGCAAATTGTACCAGCAATTTCTTCTTTCCACCCACAAATAAATAACTGATTGGTAATTTATGCAGTGCAGAAAATAAGCGAAGATACTGATGATTATAGATGAAAATGAGTTTATTATTTTATGCTTTTCTTAACACAGTTTTCAGATCATAATTGATTACAAGAGATAAATTCATAATTCATCTACAATATTACCTACTGATCTATTAGTCTCACAAATATACAAACAATATAGTTCCAACTTTTAGCTCAGCTACTTTTCCAAATATGATGTCTCGAAAAATTGCATATTCAGCTTTTTACTAATGATACTCAGAGACAAATATTACTAAACACTTATCAACATTGCTGTCCTACTAAAAATAATAATTAGATATTATTATCGATATGCATATTCATTTAATTTAAACTGTTTACTACTACTATCAAAAACTTCGCCAACACAATCAAATGATATGATTATTGACAATACGACAAATACAAATACGATTGCTGACTCTTGTTTGTAATCAAAAAATATTTTAATTGCAGTGAAGGAAAAAAAGTTATAGAGACAGAAAAAAGAATATATTTGATACGGCAGTAACATACTTTTTGCACTACATTTCTAGCATGCACAAAACGAATAATTTGACCCAAGTTAAGGGTAACTTTCAGTGATAGAGCAAAAGCAAAACGCTGGCTAACTTTTTTCATCTACTGAACGAAAGGAGTGCAAAAAAAAGTTATATTTCTCTTGCTCCTTCAGTAGAATCGCTTAGAATTTCGTATGTAGTACTAATTCAGACGTCATCAGTTCACGTTGAATGTCTAGTCATGACATTGTGCAAGGCACGAATAGTCTTTTTAATTTACTTTCTTCTAGACGACTTCGTAAATATTCTCATAGAAAGAGAGTCTTATGGATGAATGACGGATTGAATGGCAAGGAATTTGCTGAGTAGTTATCAGTCAGGTGAATTAAGAGAGCATTTTGATCTTGTCTGAACCTTGCAGCATGGCACGTAAATGTTCAATAAAAATAAGAAAACAGAAATCAAACAGCTAAAAATGCTATTTGAATTTTTAAATTTTCGATTATTCATGTATTTATTTCATAAATTAATACAGTGAGATAAAACTGTTCCATGCTATAAAAAATATGCAATGCCGAAGAGTGAAGTTTGACGGCCAGATGGGTTTCAATCACTGCAGTAACAGAAAACGAATAAATATTCAAATCAAAAAGGGCATACAAACATTAATTTCACACTGATTTTATTAGAAGCATCCCTTACGTGATTCAATTCGCACTGATAAGCTAACGTCAAAACAACTACGAGTAGCATATACGTTATCAAGATTGATTCAAATCTATGTACAATCAACTGCCTTGTATGAAACTTTCCAATTACATTTCAGATTGTTTTAGTCAAAAATGAAAGCCCTTTTAAATCTAACAATATATAAGTGCATGAACCACTACCAACTATTACTGGTAAATAATTCCGTACTAATGGTCAAAGGTTATTTTAGTAGACAAATTAAGTGACTTGGACCACATGTTTAGACGCTTGTTTATAATTAATGAAAATTTTATAGCTATCAATGGGCTAATATTAAAATCATAAGTTTAAAATTAAATCATCATAAAAGTGATTACTACTAACAATCTGAAATGTAACAGCATTCAATATTAATAAATTCTCAGCGTTAGTTCATTATTCCGAATCAAAAAGTGAAAGTAAACAAAATAACTACTCCATTACTTTAAACCATAAATAGACGCACGCCACTCATCAGTATTTTATACCTGAACATCCAATGTTTAATGTCAGGTATTCTTCGATAATTTTTCATCTTCAACAACAAAACTTGTCTTTAAATAATTTGAAATCATCATAACGTCTTTGTAAAGTGAGACAGCACAAAAAGCACACACTTCTTGTAAAAAGAAATAGAGAGAACAGGGCGCAAAAAATGCAATTTGATCGGACTTCAAATATTACTCTGCTAAGTTTTGACATTAAACTTTAGTAAAAATATGCAAAAAATTAGAATGCAAGTTAATTATTCATCTCGAAAGTCTAACAGAATAATGCTGAAGAATTTTGAATCTGTAATTATAGATAATCTAAAATGTGCTGCCCATAATGTGAGCAAACTATTCGCAATCACAAAATAATTTAGTAGCCCTCTTTTCTAAATATTACACCAAGCAAAATAATTAAAAGTCATACTCATTACTCACTTCAAGCAGTAATATTCGCAATAAACTGTTCGTTCTGCTGAGATCCATTGAGAATGCAAATATGGGAAATTCAGATAGAGCGGAACAAATTTCTCGTTTTCAGAGGAAATACAAAGGACTACTTTTGAAAATGGCCGTAAAAGAAGTCAAACAACAATTATTGCTACCAAAAAGAATTGAGGATGTTCTTTGTACCGCATTTTCTTCCCAAATC